AAGACTCATGGTTTCTAGAATTGATACAGGTTCTATGATTTCTTTCCTGAACCCCTGCAAAAAAATCATGGAAAGAAGAGCGAGAAAAGAGAGGTGCCCAGGGCACTGTCATCACTTACCTGCACATGATGATCAGATGTGTGCTGTGCTTTTGTCCCACCAGCTCTTGCCTTGATGCCAACAATGTCCCACCTTTTTACAGACTCCTTGATTACCTTTCACAGACTCACTACGATGCCTTGACTTGGATCAGAAAAACACATTGTGGAAAATGCATTTGATATTGTGGAAAATGCGTTTGGTAAATATCTTCAGATACTTGAACACCTGCAAAGTCCTTTGGTCCCACTTGTATGTTTCAGGACCCATCCAAGCAACCTGGATGCCTGCTCAATTCCAAGTTCAAACTATGGTAAGAAACTCCTTCATCTCTTGAAGACATACCTGCAAAATGACCAATAACCTGGTGATAGACAAGACCATAAATTACCTGGATACCTGCATATTCATCTATTTGCTCTGAGTGATGAATATGCATTATCTCTAAATAAGAATACAGGAGAATCTTATGTTTTTACTATTATTTATTTAAGAACTAATTCTCTAACTACACACATGCCAAAAACAATGTTAATATATGTGTCTTAAAGGATATCATTAACTGCTCAGATATCTGAAAATCAGGAGTCTCTCATGAGTCAATGTCATATCATCACTTACCTGGACACCAGCAATGTCTCCTGTTAACAAACATATTTAGGTACTGGAATCTCTGGACAGGCATCTGAAAAGCATAATTTGAGATACATGTCGAAGAACACAACCTTTTCTATCAGGATGCCTGAAAATAACCTTGATCACTGCCATCATGCAGAAACCATTAACCCCACCTGAATATCTGAAGTACTCCAGAAGTGCCATTTATCAGATAAGAACACTTCGTTTCCGACCACACTCTCAAAATTCCCATGCTGAATTCTACTGGAGGAGGAACACCCGCGATAGTTACCTAGATATGTGCAGTTCTTCATCACTAAAAGGAGTTGAGCATACATTCTCTACAAGAAAAAAAAAGTGAAAATTCATGGTTCCTCAATTGTTAAGGGAGCTATCTCGTACTTAGCAGAATAGTTGTGATAAACATATAGCCAAAAAAATGTGACACCATCATCACCTATATACATGAAGATCAGATGGCCTAAGATCAGATGGCCTGTGCTGTGGTTTAGGCTCATATCAGCACTTACCTGGGCACCAGTTGAGATTCCTGTGAATGACCATTTTGAAGTTCGTATGTGTTCTACGGACTGAAACCTGAAGAACAAATTGCTACCAATGTTCCTATGCACACAATTTTTGCACCTAACGTCTATGGTCAAGTTGGTGGCTTCCTCCATGGCAGGACCCATCAACTCTACCTGATTACTTGTAGCATTCTATGGTCTGCACTACTGTTAGTGAAAACACATTCTGTTCACTGCACACTTCCAGAAGTCCCGGGGTTACATCTGAGAAGCAGGACATCATAAGAATTACGTAGATACCTGCAAATCCAACACTCACTAGGCTGAACATAAGTTTACATTAATATATAAAACAAACTAACATAGTTAATAGTAATAATGAGAGATTATCATTCGTACCTGAATACTTTAAAAAATCCAAAAACTGACAACAATAAGTAGAGGCCAACACCACCACTATGGCTCACATCATCACTTACCTGGACACCAGCAACGTCCCATGTTAACCACCATCTTTAGGTTCCCGTGCTCTCTTGACAGGAACCTGAAAAAACATAGAAAATACATGTTAAAGGACACAATTTATTTTCTATGAGGATGCTGTCAACTAACCTTAGTTAATTCCAGTATTACTGGATGTACTGACTCTACTTGAATATTTGTAGTACACCAAGGTAAACACCATTTTAAAAAGATATAAGGCCTGGCAGTTGGATAACTGCAAAGGAATTCCATGAGTTACGAATGTGGTGGAAAGCACAATAAAGAATTACTGTGACAATCCCTCAATACTCACGAAGTTATACAAATTTTCCCTAAAATGTGAAAAGAAAGAACTCATGGATTCTATTACTAGTAAGAACTTTTCATCACTGAATACATAAAGAAAAAAACAAAACACAGTAACAGTATTTGGGACATCATTAATCACTTACCTAGATACAGGAAAATCAAGTAGATGTGCTGGGATTTAAACTTACCACATCAGTTACCTATATTCCAGCAGTGTCCCACATCAACTACCATTATTGGGCTCACCATAATCTTCTGACAGAATCCTGAAACACACATTATGAAAAATGTTATATTTGATATACATCTGATTATACCTGGTCACCTGCACATTCCCCTGGTCATTTCTGTCATTTTGCAGATCCATCAGCATTGCTTGAACCTTGCAGAACTCCAATGTCAAAATCTAGTAAGAGACACTTTCCTCTCTTAAATGGATACCTGCAGAAATCCCATGGTCATTCTGTGGTGATGAAAAATATGATAAATTAGCTGGATACCTACAGGTCCATCTAACACTATGATTATTAATACATTAGCTTACATAAGAGAATACAGTAAATCCACTCATGCTTATTTGTACTGTTAGAAAAATTAATTTCTTCTATGAAAACCAGCCAAAAAATAGATTAATCAGGGTTGTCAACACCATCCTTAATTACCTGTATATCTGAAAATAGGAAGGTCTCTACTATATAAAAGTCGCATTAGTTCTTACTTCTATACTAGTAAAGCCATTGCCTGATAGCTGAAAATAAAAACATGGTAATACTAGTACTAGGGACAGCATCATCACTGACCTAGGTATGTGAAGATTAGATGTTCTGTAGTGTGAAAGACCCACATCAACACCTACCATGTTAACAGCCATTGTTAGGTTCACCACCATCTTTTGACAGGAATTTGAAAAACACATTTCGAAATATGTGTGAAAAGACACTTTTTACAGCATGATGCTTGCCAATAACTTTTGTCACTTCCATCATTATGGGACATATACACTCTAGCTGGACATTTGTAGTACTCCAGGTCAACAATGTTGCCAGATGAAACCATTCTTTCTTGACTGGATATCTGCAAAAATCCGATGGTTACTACTGTGGTGAGGAACACCATGAAAATTATCTGGATACGGCAATGACTCAACATCCACAGGATTAAGATAAATTTTCAAAATATGTAAAACTAAGAACTCATGGTTCCTAACATTGGTAAGGACTATGGTTTCTTATCTCAGTATCTTCAAAATAAACAAGCAAGCAAAAGTGTTAGGGGCACTTTGATCACTTACCTTCTTATATGAAGGTCAAATGTTTTCAGCTGTGCATTAAGCACACCTCATCACTTACCAGACACTCATAATGTCCATTAATGTGGCATTATTAAAGCTCCACTATAAATCTCATGAGAGGCAGAAAAGCATATTGTGAAAAATGTGTTTAAACATCTTATACTACCTGGACACCTGCAAATACCCTTGATCACTTCTTTTGTGACTCACATCAATGCTACCTGGATAGTTCCAAAGGTGTGAAGTTAAACCCTAATAAAGACACCTCTCTCCTTTGAAGAAATACCTGCCAAAATCCAGCGGTCACTAGTGAGGTGATAGACAGTGTGATGTACTGGATACCTACAGGTTTCTCGACTGCTACTAGGGTTAAGTACAAATTAGCACTAAACAAGAATACAGAAAATCATACGCTTATTCTTATTAGTGGAGCAAGTTCATTTCTTCCCTGCAAAACTATACCAAACCAGGTAACTATTACAGGTATGATCACCATCATCAATTTCCTAGATATCTGAAATTCGGGTCTCTAGTGTATAAATGCCACATCATTTCTCACCTTTATATTAGTACTGTCCTTACCTGAACGCCTGTTTATAAAAACAACATTCTTGTAACCACAGTATTACAGGCACCATCAACGCTTTATAGATAACTGAAATCTGAAGCTCTCTAAAGTGTAAAGGCTCACACCATCTTTTCCCTCTCTTTTAGCTAAGTCCGTGTTCACTATCATTGTTAGTTTCAGCATCATCCACTGACAGCACAAAAAAAAAACCCCATGAAGGCAGCCATGGTTAGAGATATGTCTTTTTCTACCTAGACCATACAACATCTCATGAGAATCACTAGCAGTAGAACCATCAACTTCACCTTGATACTTTGAGAATATCAAGGTCAAAACCATGGATATGTCATAATCACTTGACTCGGGTACCTGTAGATACCATGATCAACCCCGAGATGAGAAACACTATGAGGTGACTTAGAAACTTACAAATCCCTCAGTCTTAGCCAGATTTCAAAACATTACCTCTGAACTAGTAAGCAGTAAGGGTGTATTCTTAAATGGGAATTATATGGGAACATTATAATTTCTTACCTGAATATCTACCAAAACCCCAAAAACACGGTAACACAAATGTTAGAGGTATCATCATCACTTATGTAAATTTCTGAAGGTCAGAATGTCTTCTGTGTGATAAGACTGACATCACCAGTTGCCTGGTCTGTAAAGCTTCATGTTAATCCCATTGTTAGAGGTTACTTTGATCTTTAGATTGGAAACCTGAAAAAAAACACATTGCGCCAGATGTGTTTAAGAATGCAACTTTTTCTAGCAGAACATCTGCAAATTAACTTTTGTCACTTCCATCTTTACAAACTCATTAATGCTACCTAGATATTGGCAGAACCTGAAGATTTTCCACATTCAGGTACAGGCACCATCATTTATTGTCTGGGCATCGATAAAAATCTCATGGTCATTACTGTTTTTGTGAAAGTTATGATCACTTGCCAGATACCTGAAAATTTCTCATTCACTCCTAAGGTTAAACACACAATATCTCTAAACCAGAAAACTGGTTAAGCTAAAGTCTGCATGGATTCCAATACTTATTGGTAGAGGCCAGTATCTTTTTTTTTTTTTACCTGAATACACAAAACACATGATGCCAACACATGTTGAGGACATCATCACTTACGAGATGTCTGAAGAGCAGATGAGTCTGTACTATGTTTAAGGTCATAATCCTTAGCCAAATTCCATGAAATGCCTACAAAAATGACCAATATGAGTTTCACCATTATCTCTTGATAGGAGCCTGCAAAACCATATGGCAGCAGTGGTAGTTAGGGATACATCTTCTACATGGACCTCAAAATCCACGGTGACTAGTATTATTCACGAGACACTCTCGAAACCTCTACCTGAATCCTAAGGTTCTGAGGCCAATGCTGTAGTTAGAGACACCATTATCTCTTGACTACCTGCTGAGAAAACATATGGTGGTAACCCTGGTCAGGATGCATGTCCTTCCATCTGGCCCCCTGCTCATTCCCGTGCATACACTCACTCACGATCATTGAGGCATCACTAAGTGTGCTTGGACACTTAGAGAAGTCAAGGTCAACACAATCAGTTTCACACACTGTCTATTCACTGGACACCTGCAAAAATCCTATAGTTACTGCATGTGGTAAGGGACTCTGTGATATCCTACCTGGATGCCTGCTATATCTTTGTCACTACTAAGTTTGAGAGAGATTGTCTCTGAACTAGAAAACAGTAAAATCTAATGGTTACTACTTTTGTTGGGCACACACATTTCTTATCTGAACACCTATAAAAACACATGGATGTGAAAAGAGTTCAGGACATCTTCATCAGTTTTCTAGATGTCTGAAGATCATTTGGTCACTAATGTTTTAAGGCCCACATCATCTCTAGCAGGATACCAGCAAAGTCCCATCTTCATTGCTACCGTGAGTTTTGTTGTCATCTATTGAGTGGAACCTTCAAAATTCCATGGCTATTACTGTGGTCAGTGACATCAAAACTTACCCAGAGACTTCCAAAATCCCATGATGTCTGTTTGGTTAAAGCCCATGTTATTTCTTTCCCAGTTATCTGCCAAATCTTCTGTTTAGTACTGTGGTAAATTTCACCTTTATTCACTTACTAAAACCATGCTGACAACCATAATTAAAGAGACATTATATTTTATAGGACATCTGAAAATCAATGGGCACTGCCATGGTTCAAGTCACCATTATCCCCTATGGGATGACTCCAAAATCCCATATTCACTTTAGGTTTACCATCAGGTCTTGACTAGATACTGGCAAAACCACCTTGGTACAATAATTCTTTGTGACATATACATCTCTTACTTAAATACCTACAGACACCCATGGTCTTTCACTTAAGGTTTGAAACTATACCCTATTTCATGGCTATCTACAAACTGCCCAGATAACTGCCATAGCTGGGCATATAACATGTTCGCATATACACAAAAACTCACGGTTAGTCTTTTTTCGTTCATACTTTCATGAAAAACAAGAAGGCTTTCTTTGTGCTCAGCACTGCCTGAACAATCTGCTGCAAGGAGGGCCACAGCCCTGTGGAATTAGCTTCAATTGCACATCAGCTAGATGAAGAAGAGAGGATGAGAATGGCAGAAGGAGGAGTCACTAGTGAAGACTATCGCGCATTTTTACAGCAGCCTTCAGAAAACATGGATGATAGCGGCTTCTTCTCCATCCAGGTAATATGCAATGCCTTGAAGTTCTGGGGTTTAGAGGTCATCCATTTCAATAATCCTGAATATCAGAAGCTCGGGATTGATCCTATAAATGAACGATCTTTTATATGTAATTATAAACAACACTGGTTTACTATTAGAAAATTCGGAAAACACTGGTTTAACTTGAATTCTCTACTCTTGGCGAGTCAGAATTAATATCAGATACAGGCCTTGCAAATTTCTTGACTCAACTGCAACAGGAAGCATATTCTGTATTTGTTGTTAAGGGGGATCTGCCAGACTGTGAAGCTGACCAACTGCTGCAAATCATCAGTGTTGAAAAATGGATAAACCAAAACTTAATGAAAAAAAATTAGCCAAAGAAAAAGACCATAGAGTCTATAAAACAATTCTTGAAAAAGTGTCAGAAGAAAGTGATGAGTCTGGAACATCAGACCAAGAAGAGCAGGATTTTCAGAGGGCCCTGGAACTAAGTCGCCAAGAAACCAATAAAGAAGATGAAGATCTCCGCAGGGCTATTGAACTAAGCATGCAAGGTAGTTCCAGAAACACATCGCAAGATCTTCCAAAGACATCATGTGGAACTCCTGCTTCGGAAGAGCCAAAGAAAATAAAAGACTATTTTGAAAACTTGCTCGGCAGGGAACAGAAGCAGCAGCAACAGCGCAGTCAGATCCGCCAGGTCACAGTTCATATCTACACGAAAGGCCAACAACAAGTTCGAGAGCAATTGAGAGTGATCTCAGGGATGACATCAATGAAGACATAGTGGGCCACTGTCGACACTGTTTTAGAAATTATGAGAAAGAATCTGAAAATCAAGGGAGAAAAATAATGCCTTTAAAAATAATTTAGTCATACTTTCCAAGATTATCCTGTGCGATCTGTTGTAGGATCCATTTTGGTCATCAGAAGTCAAATAGATGAGGAAATAAGGCTTTTAGATGGTCTGCAAACAAAATGGTGAGAGAGATGTGGACTAAATAATGACTGTTCAACTAGTAATGAGAGACATTCAGCAATTAATTAAATTTAATAAGCTTTCAAAAATGTTCCTTTGGTTTTTTGTTTTTGTTTTTGGGGTTTTTTTAGTGTGCAATATCTAATGTGTCTAAAGTTGAGGCATTTTTTGTGAATCTTTTTGTATACTAACTAATTAGCTCTTGCCATAGAACTTTTTCCATATGGTCTCTTCTATTGTAGGTAATGTGGCTCATTTTGGTTGCTTTTATTTCTCATGAACCAATTTAACCTTTCAGGAAAGTGTCTCTTGTCTGTGTTGATCATAGTAATGGTTTTAGAAGGATAAACAGTTTGCCTTCCAGCTATGTACTGTGCACTTAAGTATATTCTTATGTTATTTCTTCTGATCACAATTTCTGCTACCTGGTCCTTAATTATTTTCCACAAGTCTTTTGAAATATGGTAATATTTTTCGAGGTTTCGTTTTTTACGCCCTATGTGGTAAGATCGTTATTTCATGACTCTGGTGCATTACTCTTTCTTTCTTTGGGGCGTGGTGAGGGGCAAAGACTGCTCTGTTGCCCAGTCTGGTTTCGTGGCCCAACCTCGGCTCACTGCAACATCTGCCTTCTGGATTCAAGTGATTCTCGTGCCTCAGCCACCTGAGTAGCTGGGACTACAGGCATATGCGAGGATGCCCAGCTAAATTTTGTACTTTTAGTAGAGACAGGGTTTCACTATGATGGCAAGGCTGGTCTTCGAACTCCTGCCCACTCCAAGTGATCTGCCTGCCTTGGCCTCCCAAAGTGCTAGGAATTAAGGCGTGAGCCACTGGGCTGGCTGCTGGTGCATTCCTATATTCTGAAATCAGTCTTGCACAAATATTTGAGAATGAGTAACTTTTTAAGTCTGAACAAAAGGTAACATCAAGATTTCAGGACATATTATTATATCTAGATATCTAAAAAATCATATGGTCTGTAATATGTTTAAGGACCACATCATGTCTTACCTGGGTATCAAGAAATCCTATGTTTGCGCCTATTGTTAAATTCATCATCGCCTGTTGACTATAACCTGCAAAATCCCGTGGTTAGGGGCACCATGATCACTTATTTAGAAATCCCCAAAATCTAATCATGTCCACTTGGTTAAAGATCACATTATTTCTTTCCTCAATTCCTGCTAAATCCTCTGTTCATAAGAGTGGTTGAATTGTCTTCATTATATTGCTGGAATTTGCAAAAAAAGCCATGGTGACAACCATAATTAGACACACACCACCTGTTACCAAGATATGGGCACTACTTGTGGGCATTACCACGGCTTAGGCCAACATCATTCCCTACTGGGTATCTTCAAAAACTTATATTCACCAGAGCTTTAAATTGAGATACTTGTAAAATACCTTTAGCACTTGGTTACAAATTGTGACACATCATCTCTCATGTGGATACCTACAGAAGATCATGAGATCGACCAGATATAGAAATACCTACCAGACATGGATACCTACAAATTACTCAAATAAAATGTCATTGCTAAGGACACATCTATTTTATTTCCTGGGTAACTGTAAAATACCTTGGGACTACCATTTCTAGTAACATATTATTCCTTGATTGGATATCCTCAAAATCCCATGGTCACCACATTTTTAGAGACACCATTATCTGCTACCTGGTGATTTGCAAAATTCATTGTTCATTGGAGGGGTAGGGTCACCGTCATCTCTTAATTACTGATCGAATAATTTGCATCATAACCTTCACGGTTAAGGGGACCATCTTTTCTTTACTAGGCCCCTGACAAACCTTATAGTCATTTTGGGGTTAGGTTTGCCATCATATCCAGAATACAAAATGTCATGTTCACTCATGGGAAGGGACATCATCAGCTCCTACGTGCCTACCTGAGGAAACCTAATTTTGATACTTGAATTAGGGTCACCATCCACTCTTTTATGGATATGTAGAAAATACCATGGTCTCCCACAGGATTAGGTTTATCATTATTTCTTACTTTTATACCCCCTTCAGTATCTATGTTCACTTCCTAAGTAGAAATTCTCATTTCTTACCTGGATATTTACAAAATTCCACAGACATTACCATAGATATGGCCACTGTCATCTTTTCACCCTATAGCTACAAAATCCATGGGCATTACCCGCAGTTTAGGGACATGTCCATCATCTGTTTCTCAAATATTCCTTCAAAATACTATGGTCACAATGTTGAGAGCCATGATCATCTCACACCTGAATCCCTACCAAATATGATAATCAGTGAATCTTGTGGACAGATCTCAAGGCTGTCTACTCTGCTGAGCCTGATTGGTCACATATGTGACCAATGTGTCTATGGATACTGCTTTTAATGCAGAACCCTGCAAGCCACCTGCTCACTATCATCACTGTAAGAGCCAAAAATCTACCAGGATGCTTGTGGGCCCTCCAAGTTCTAGGCCATTGTAGGACCGCCACTTTCCCTGGCCGGCTTCCTGTAACTCACGAAGAAACTCCTGTGATGCAACAGTGCCACGTGGGTTCCTGGGTATGTGCCAATCAATCACGCTCATGAGTACATACATCTTACATTCTCTCTAGGACAGTTACCAATAAGGTCACATGGTGAGGAGAATGAGATCACTACTCTTCCTTTCCATAACGGCCATTAACCCATCACATGGTAAACTGTTCAGGCAAAGGAACCTCACTTGCACCTAGATGAGTGGAGGATCGCTGGTCTGTGGCAAGTTTACTGCGAACACCATCACTAACCAGACAGCAGACATGTCCCCTGATGGTGATTCCTTTTTGTCAGGATTTCCTCCAGGGAACCTGAAAAACATATACAGACATATGCCTCAGAAACACACAAGATGCCGTACCAGGACACCTGCAAATCATGATGCTCACATCCATCATTCAATGACTCTTACCAGGATGCTGGTGGGGCCCATCTGGCTCAGGGCAGTGGCGGCTCCAGAAAATAGCATTTCTCTCTACAGAACACCTGCAAAATGTCCACAGTCACTGCTGTGGCTGGGAGCCGCTGGATCATTCCCTGGTATTTGCAGTCCGCCGTGTTCACACGGTTAGGCACTATCTCTGAAATCGCCAGAGGGAAAAACTCAGTTCTAGTATGCCAGGTACCCTTATCAATCCCAACCGGGACACCTGAAGTGAAATCATGGGAACAACGGGGAGGCCTGACACTATCATCATTAACTAGACAACTGAACCTCGCGTGGCCGTGTGATGTTTTGGTCTTCATCAGCACTGACGTGCAGAGCAGCCGAACTTCCATTTAGATCTTGTGTCAGATTTATTGTGATGTCATGGCTGGAACCTGAAGGAGTACGAAGAAGTATGTGAGGGACATGGGGTTTGCTGCTAACTTGCCCAGCAAAGAATCTTGATTATTTCCATCTTTACAGGACACACCCACTTGACTTGGATACTTGCAGTAATCCCAGGTCGACCCTGATAACACAAAAAACACTACAGCCTCGAGCACCTGTGGCATCCTAGGAAGGGGCACTTATGGGGGCGGGAATGCAGAGATAAATACCTGGCATCCTGCAGCCCCTCAACACTCACAGGGTTCAGCATACACTTTCGTTGAAACGGAAAATGGGAAAACCTGTGGCGATCTGGGATTGGTAAAGGACTCAAATCATTCTCAGCTGAGTACCTGTAGAGAAAGAAATCCTGAGCGGGAAGATGTGTGGGGATACCTCATCACTGAACCAGGTCTCTGGGACAGTCACGGTGCGTGCTGTGGTTTATCAGCCATCAGCACCCCTCAGCCAGACTCTCTCAAAAAAAGAAATACTGTGCTTAGAATAGTCATCTCTGAACTACTGACGGAAAAATTACATCACAACAGTCACAGTTAAAGAGGACCATCATCCCTTTACAAGACTCCTGACAATCTGTGGTCACTTTTGTGGTTTGGTTCGACATCACATCTGGAATACCACAATGCAATGTACACTAATATGGAAGAAACACCATCAACTCCTTAGTGCCTACCTGGGGAAATCAACTTTGATACTCGAGTTAGGACCACCATTCACACTTATCTGGATATCTAAAAATGACATGGTCACCCACACCATTAGGTTTATTATCATTTCTTACCATTATAATTTCAGTATTCCATGTTCCCTTCCTAAGTAGAAACACTCATTTCTTACCTGGATATTTGCAAAATCCCATGGACATTACCAGAGCAATGGCTACTTTCATACTTTCACTCTTCAGCTATAAATCCCATGGGCCTACCATGGTTAGGGACAGAGCCCATCAACTGTTTCTGGGATTCCTTCAAAATACCATAGTCACCACAATGATGAGAGCCATGATCATCTCACTTCGAATCCCTAAGCTATGGACCCTGAATCTCCTGGAGAGACCTCAAGGCTGCCTACACACACTCTCACTACTGCCTGCCTGAACCTGAAACCAAATGTGTGACCAATGTGTCTATGGACACAGCTTTTCCACTAGGACCCTACAAACTGCCTGCTTGCTATCATCATTACGGGAGCCAATAATGTACCTGGATACTTGCGGGCCCTCCAAGGCCTAGGCCACTGTAGGACACGCCATTTTCCCTGGCCAGCTTCCCTGCAAATCCACCACAGTCACTCCTGTGATACATAATGCCACATGAGTTCCCTGGGTACATACCAATCAATCTAGCACTCACAAGCACATAGATCATACCTTCTCTCCAGGACAAGAAATGAAAAGGATCACATGGCAAGGAGAACTACAGAACCACCTCCCCTTTCTTTCCATAATAGCTGTTAACCCATCACATGGTAAAGTGCTCAGGCAAAGGAACTCACTTAACTAGATAC